TGACTCCAAGGGAGGGGAGGTTGAAGATCAAGGGGGCCCCCTGGGTGATGCTCTGGTTAGTTTTTGCTACATAAAGAGGCACCAAGGACACAGGCTTAGGGGCTGGTAGACCTGGGTTTCAATTTGGGGTTTGCATCTTACTTTTACTCCCCATGTAACCTTGATGAGGTCAGTCAAGTTTGCATCTTATTTTACTCCCCATGTAACCTTGATGAGGTCAGTCAAAACCTCTGAGTTACAGTTTTTCCCTCGGATGAAAGGGATTGGTAAATTCAGATAATTTTAGAACTGGGAAGGACCGCATGGATTGTTTAGTCATTTCCCCATATTTTATAGGCAGAAAACTAAATAACAATAACAGCAGTAATAGTAATAGTTAATATTTTCAAGTATTTAGGATATGCCAGGCCCTATTCTAAACACTTTACAAGTATTATTCTATTTCACAGTAAATTCATTTGGTAGGTGGTAGTTACTCCCATTTTACAGATAGGGAAACTGAGGTCAGTGAGGTTCATTATCCAAGGTGATACAGCTGGTAAACGGTGGAGCTGAGTTTGAAACCCAGACAGCCTAGTCCCGGAGGTATACTTTAATAAGCCATAAATACTCCATTTACTTTCTTTTGCACAGGGGGTACACTCATTTCAGAAAAGGGGTACACTACCTGAATTAGTGCTGCATGAGGTCCTGAAAGTGTAGACCTTACAAAGAGGTGTTTCTGATATTGTGGCAATGGCTGACAATGTCCAATCTGTCCCCCCAGGCTCCCTGGGGTCACAAGGTCCCTGCAGCCAGGCTTTGTACAGTCTTCCCAAGATGCTCTGCTCTATACGGTGCCCTTCTCAAAGTCAGACTGTCACTGGTCTGTAATTGCCTGATGATCCTTACTCTCTCTCTAACCATTTCCTTGACATTCACTTGAGCTGCTGTTACACTTGTGTTTGAACACCCAACATGATACTTTTAATTTCTTTGCTCTGAGCACTTGCACACCTTTTATTAGCCATATGGATCAAAACTGCTTCTCAGAGCAAAAATAATTGCAGACAGAGGGATCATGGCAGAAGAAACATCAGCATTGCAAAAGACACTCAACTCTGGCAGTATGGGAGCCCGCTCACTGGGTGAGACTTCGCAGAATGGTACACTGATGCTCATTGGTTCAGAGAGGAGGCTATAGTTTGTCATTAGCTTTCATTGGCTAATAGTACCCAGTGCCTAGGAAAAATATATAACACTATATGTAATGAGCTGTTGATAAAAGGATGATAGCATTAATATCAAATTATTGCTGCATGGAGAATTATTAAATAGACAATATGTATCCTAAGCTCAAAGAAGCTTGCTGACTTGTCCAGACACCGGGACAAAGCTATCTAGGAAAACTCTTCTGTTTTCCTTTACTTGTACTTAACAATACTTTTCGAATCCTTCTGACACCAGACGTGTGGATTTTCCATACCAAAAATTCTCTAACACCAGCTAGGTGTCCTACAATTCAGTTCAATTCTGTTACTAAGGTAATCAGCACAGGTACCACAGGTTAAGGACTCACTCCTCAGAGACTGCTCCCCATTTCCGATGCCAATTGCAAGTTGAGGGTCCCCAGGTTACTCACAACTTCTGCCTGACTTGGCTACAAATTGGAGGTTTCCATGACCCCTTCCTCAGGTCCAATTATTTGCTAGAACAGCTCACAGAACTCAGGGAAATACTTTCTTACATTTACTGGTTTATCATATAATAAAGGATGTGATAAAGGAACAGATGAATACCCAGATGAAGAGGTACATAGGGTGAGGTCTGGAAACGTCCCGAGAACAAGAACTTCTGTTTCCATGGAGTCGGAATGTGCCATCCTCCCAGCACATAGATGTGTCCGTTGACATGGAAGCTCTTTGAACAGCACACTTCTGGGAATTTTACATAAGCTTCATCATATAACACATGATCAATTATTAAACTCAATTTCTGGCCCCTCTCCCCCTCCTGGAGGATAGGGGCTGGAGCTGAAAGTTCCAAGCTTCTAATTATGGCTTGATCTTTCTGGTGACCAACCCCCATCCTGAAGCTACTCAAGAGACCATCAAGAGTCACCTCATCAGAAAAAAAGACACTCCTGTCACCCAGCAAGTTCCAAGGGATTTAGAAGCTCTGTGCCAGGAACTCAGGGCAGATTATCTATCTATCTATCTATCTATCTATCTATCTATCTATCTATCTATCTATCTATCTATCTATCTATTCCATTATTCACAAAGGCACATATGATCCTTTTTGATCTGGCCTCACCTGCCACCTATTCCACATCTTGAAGTCCTCACAAGTGCTGTCCCTTTTGCTTGAGGCAATCACTCCACCAATCCCCTCTCATCACTCCCCCTTTTCCAGTTGCAAACATCTGTTCATCTTTCAAGATCTGGCCCCCAAATTACTTCCTCTCTAAGGCTTCCTGACTTCTTAGCACTTTCTGTACTACACATGGTTAGAGCACTCAGTGCACAGGATTATAATGAATTGGTTCTTCTTCTTTTTCCCCTTTTTAAGCAGGGAGCTCTTTGAGGACAGAGACTATGTTTCAACTATCTTTGTATCTTCAGTGCCCAGCACAGGGCCTGGATCATCTTGTCTACTCAATGAGTATAGAAGGAAGGAAGAAAGACAGGCAGGGAAGTTATGTTCTCCTGAAACTATCAAGCATTACAGAAATACAAAGATTTACTAACCAGAGAAAGATGTCCACTGTCTGGTGCAGGAATAAGCTTACTGTTCTCACGGCACAATGCTTAGGCAAAAAATGGAAGCTAATGACGATGCTAGCAGGAAGCAGACTTCTTACTCCTCATTTACCTGCCTGATGAAGAGGTAGGTACACAATTTCCCCAAGACAGAAACAGTGCCCTTACTGATGTTATTCACTACCAGTAATTCGGTTAACTGAATAAGCACAAAACCTAAATAACACAAAGAATTAAGGAACTGTTTAGTCCACGGTACTAAAATATTTTATCAGGTGGCATGTCATTAAGTGCACTTAAACACAATCATGTAGCATTTTGTTTGGTCATCCTCCTCTGGGGGTGTTAGAAAAACCAGGAGAGAAAAGAAGCCTCTTCAGGGATTTTTCCCTTACAGTACAATTTTTACAAAAAGCTGAGTGTACAACTTGCAAAATAATAAGCTCTGGTGATAACATAAGCTTCTGCTGCAATTATCACAAAGAGCAAGTCTGCTGCTCGAGCTTCTAACTTATCCTTGTGACTATAGAACAATCCAAAATGTCACATTCAAGTTGAAGTGACTGCAGCCAATTAGGTAATTTCCACCAAATTGGGTCCATTAATACTTGGGCATTATCTTGAGGGAGAAATAGGACTCTGTGACAAGGTGCAATGTGGCTTGTGAAATATTAGTTTTGGACAGTCACAAATCAAGATCCAAGGGTATGTTAAATTATTCAGCATTCTTGACCTCATTATTAAGTGACTTCATATGGGTTTTTCTCATATTCATATAGTATTAGGCTCCAAGGAACTTGATTTTGTTTCCTTCCCCCAGCCATTTACCTACCTATTCCATCTATTTTTTTTGTCTTCTCCACTCTTTATGTAACAATGGCTTAGTGTATATCTCTTTTTAAAATCCTGTTTAATTTTATAATTTAAGGGGTAATGGCTGTGGTTTTGTTTGAGGAACACACAACAAGAACACTCTTTAGTGCAATGACACAGACAAGAAATATGAACATTGGTAAGAAATTTGATTTCCATGTCTTTCTTTGCTAGCACATACCTCAGGTAATACAAAAATCTTCCAACTTAACGTCTGCTTTGATCCACCATGTACCAAACAGAAAGCTGTGATTTGTAACATACGGCTTTATAAATGAGTCAGAACTTGAATGCCAAGTCTGCTTCTGTAAGTGTTCTGAAATGCTGGCAACAATATTATTTTCCAAAATAATGGGAGAAAGCCACAAAAACACTCAAGGAAGATCATCTACCAAAGATGTTTGTTGATTCCATTTTGTTCCAAAAACATTTGAAACAATGATTAGTTGATGCTGACAGAATTTCTACAACCGTGAATGTATTGAATATTTAAAACTTTAAATTGGTGATCCTGTAGGTTGCAAAGAACATTAACCAATCACACACTTTTCCTAAGAACATAACTAGTAGATAATTTACAAGCTGAAATACAACATGGGGGCAAAGCAACGAAATGACCCTGGAATGAGAACGTCACCAGATAATGTGATTGAATTTGTATCCATCTATCTGCCCCCCAACCCTGGCCCCCAAGAGTTCTTGCACTGGTGTGCTTTGTGGGATTAATCAAGTAAATTAGGTAATGTCGAGCTGTTCATGGTTCAGTTTCTTCTTTTAGATATGTGTGTTTTGTAGTGTTGCTTACAATTCAAATCATAAGAAATACTTTGAAGGCAGAGACATAGAACTCCATTTCATCAACCCCAACCAGATGGGACCAGTGCAGGTGTAATCACTTTAAAGTGTTCTTCTCTATAAATCAAATTCTGATTCATTCCAGAGTGGAGCTGTCAGCCCTTAGGCACCCTCTAAAGTTGAGAATTCTTAGCAAACTAAACACAGGCATTAAAATAATGTTTGAATTAGTTTTAATCACAGTGGCGTAGATTCTCATGCTTCCCAGGACTCTACTGTATCTCTTCCATGTGTGAGATGCTTGGGAGGGCTGCACATTGGCAAGACTCACTGGAGTGAAGAGCAGGAAGGAGAATTTAGGTCAATTACTGTTTGAAGTATGATCCCTTTAAACAGCTACTCAAGGTAGTACCTTGCTAACTGTGCTGTATATAATAAAAGTGACCTGTGCCGTTTCTTTAAATACTGCTTTTTGGTCATAAGCAATCAAAGTGTTAAATTTGTGTAAAGAAAAAAAAAAAAGAAGATCAAGAGACATTTCGTCCATGTTCTTTCTGGAATCTATTAGGAAGGATTAGATATGCAGTTTACCTTTGTGAAAGCCTGGGCTTGAAAGTCTGTGCCTCCATTTCAGTCTCTCCTAGTTCAGTCTTTGTTTTCTTTATCTGTAAATTGAGGAGACAAGAAGTTTAGATGTCACCCCAGGACCTTCAGTGACTATATTAAGAAATTAAAAAATTATGAAGCATGTGAATGTGTGGGGAGGCAGGAGATGGAGACAGAGAGTATTTGCTATGGATTCATTCTTCAAAGTTTAAAAAAATATATATTGTGTGTGGGTGTGTATTTTCATTAGTTCCAGAGGAAAAAGACCCCATTGAATAAATGGTTTTATGATTTTTAAAATATATTATTGTTTTAGCTTGGAAGAACATCTTAAAGTGTCTTTTGGTTAGAAAACACTGTTGCTTTTAGTTTCATGGCAGGGCTTCAGAAAGAGCAAATAGATTTAAAGCAACACGAAGAATATAGGGAACACCTTCTATAGATATTCAAAGAAAATGATGTAAAATTTTTAAACATGATTATAAAATTAATTGCTCTTGTGATTATAAAAGTAACACACCTTCATGGTAAAAAAAATTTGAAAAATATACAGACGTATAAAGAAAACAAAGATCACCCTGAATCTTACAATTCAGAAATAACTTACTAAATTTCCTTCTAGTATATAACCACACACACACACACACACACACTCTGAAAAAAGTCTGGAAGGAGATAGCTTGTGCAGTAAAAAAAGTTTATTTGTTTAACTGTTTCCAAGGTTTTGTATCCACCTATTTTCCCTTATTACATACCAAGTCAGCCCCCCAAAAGTATTTTTAATAAAGTAAAAAAAGTGAGTTCATTTCAAGCCTATAAAGAACTACACAAATGAAATGATAAGAAGTTGTTTTCTGTCATTGCTTTTCTTCCAACAGGCTTAGGGGTTATTAGAAAGTTTAAGATGGCTTTCAAAGATGAATTAGTTCCATGCTGAATTTCAACAAATATCCAACAGTGAGAGCAGGGCACAAAATCCATTAAGCCTTGTGACTGTTCATTATGAAATTCTGAAATTTAACCAACTAGAAATGTAATATGTAATCCAAGCTCAGATTTATTTTTCATCCTTCAAGACAGTAAATGTCAAACAGAGAACAGACCTCTCCTTTGGGCCTGGGAGGCTACAAGCAGGCAGAGGAGGAAAGTGTTCCTTTCCTTCCCCCTGGGTCTTCAGTCTCCATGCTTGCCCAGCACCAAGGTTCACTCACCAAGTTTGTGGGGTGGCCAGTAGAGAGAGTTATCAATCCCCTTGTGGGGGAATTAGAAGGATGGCAGTCTAGGCTGTTACACACACACACACACACGCATGCACACACACACACTGAAACTCAGGCCATCTTCCACAGCCCACAGACAACAGAAATGGCCAAGGATAGGGGGGAAATTATGTTCTGCCCCTTCCCATCCTCAGTCACATAAACACAAGCCAGGTAGTTGACAGGAGGGTTTGCTCCTCATTATTTGGTGAGATGGAGAAACTGGAGAGCAGAAAGAGAGATTTAGACTAATATTTCAAAATATTTCCAGATGCTCATTACTGGGGTCATCTGAGGAAAGAGCAGACTTTGAGGTCATCAGGTCTCTCATTTATTGTAACAAATACTTAATGAGCCCATACTAGATGCTAAGCACAGTCCCCGTTGCTGAGGAGGCATCAAAGAACAAAACCGACAACAATCTTTGTCTTTTTTTTGATTTACATATTTTCATTAAGTTTGTTTCTAGGTGTTTTATAATTTATGTTTTTTCGGTTGAGGGGGAGGTAATTTTGGTGTTATTGTAAGTCAGATCTTTTTTGTCATTACATTTTCTTTTTTAAACTTTTATTTTTTATTGAAGGACAGTTGATTTGCTATGTTGTGTTAGTTTCAGGTATACAGCAAAGTGATTCAGTTATATATAAATACACATATATGTATATACATATTCTTTTGAAGATTCTTTTCTATTATAGGTTATTACAAGATACTGAATATAGTTCCCTGTGCTATACAGTAGGTCCCTGATGTTTATCTGTCTCATATATAGTATTGTGTATGTGTTAATAACAAACTTCTAATTTATCCCTCCCTCAGCCTCTTTCCCCTTTGGTAATCATAACAATCTAAGTCTTGGTGGAGTATACATTCTAGCAAGGGAGCAGACAATAAAGATAATATCAGAGAGTGGAAAACACTACAGGAGGAAAAAAGCAGAGTAAGAAAGACAGGGACTGGGGAGTGGGTTGTGGTTTTAAACAGGATGATCAGAGAAACTTTACTGATTAGGTAACGTGTGAGTCAAGATATGAGAACATGAAGTGATGAGCCATTTATATATGGGGATGGTAGTTTTAGGCTGAAGGGACAGCCAGTGCAAAGGCCCTGTGGTGGGAGCAGGCTTGCAGGGCTGGAGGAGACTGAAGGAGAGGAGCTAATGAGATCAGAGCTATAAAGTGTGGGTAGGAGGTGTACATGCAGGACCTGGAACATTACAAGGATTTTCACTTTCTACTTGGGTTTAAATCCTTGTACCACTATTCATGAAAGGCTACAGGTTAAGAGACTCTGAACTTCCATTTTCTTGTCTCTAAGATGGGAATCTCATTGACTATACAGTTATTTTGAAGATTAAAATGAAATACCAAGCACAACATCTGGCATGTGGTATGCTTGCAACAAACGTTAATTCCTTTATTCCTCTGGGTAACATTTTGTGTATTTTATATGTATTTTATAAATGTACACATAAACATAAAAGGGTGGTGTGACTGACCAATAGTTACCCAGAGGTAGGATTCCAAGTAGATTATAACTTTGTAAATAAGTAAGAATTTTTTTCTCATGATAATAACAGTCACATATCACCAATACAAAGTAATAGTTTTGGAAGGTGGGTTGGGGGTTCAAGTTGACCAAGGAACTAAATCTTGGATGTATTAACCATTAGTGAGAATTGATATATCAGCAGAAAGGTACAGGCAAATCTCATTATTTTCCATTTCCGTTGAATGTCTATTTCAAGGTTGAAAAGAATGCTATCTGTCCTTCTGGGGGACATCTGAACATTCAAACAATACCAGATAAAATAGTCGGCTTGCAAACTTTTGAAAACATCATTGCCTGCAGGGTTGAAAGGGCCTCTCTTAGATATCAATCTGCTTTGTGCTAACTTTTTTGATACGATGGTGGCAGTTTTTCTCTTATGTGGTGATATCATTAGAGTTTCACTTGAGTTCACAGAAATCATTTTCTGGCTAAATTTCCACTCGAACCCAGTTGCTATAGAAGTTGAACATCAGTGGGGGAGGCAATTCGTTAGCTAGTTATTATGACTTTACTTACTTAGTACATTTTTAGCAGAAGGAAAAATGACAAAAACCTAAAATAATTCTATAGAAATATACAAGTGACTTCTTTTACCCGTAGATCATTAGCACAGTGGACAGGATTTCAAAGACGCCACCAACACCTATAACATCCTCTTCTGTTGTATTATTATGCAGTTTTCATCAGTAACAGGGCCAATAGGACCCATTTTGGTAAAAGTTACACAGTACCTAGTGTTGGAGGATCTGAAACTATGGAAGAACTAAAGATGCATTTCTCTTTGTAGGTCAATGACAACCATACATAAGTTATTACCAAGACAATTAGTTATACCACTTTCAGAATTCTGCTGGTCAAAGGCACTTTTAGGAGCTTTAAAAAATAACTGCCAAAGAACTTCTCCAGGGGAACACTAGTTTCTGTTGATCATCCTAGTGAGTTAGCTCTTAAGCACTGACGTATTATTTGGTCTCTACCCCCTGTTCTAAATTCCGGAGTTTACAAAAAAATCTGGATTATCCCCACTTACCAGATAAGGAATTTTCCTGAAAAATTTGTCTTATGATTTTTGTACCATATATGAGGAGCCCGATAAATGTCTGTTGAATGAATGAGTAGAAAAAATTATCTCCATTTCCTTCTACTTGTCCTACTACAAATCAAAGATAGAACACACATGCACACACATTGTATATTTTACCCATTCCCTATTATAAGTATATACCAATATATACATAGATAGGTGAAGTGTGACTTTTTTTTTTAAATGTACACCAGAATTTATAGCTTCAAATGAGTGTTGCCCTTTCTGAAGTCATCTAGACAGATAATCCATTTATTCCACAGATGCAAGTAAATTTTTTAGGAACTCTTCCCTGGGCAGTTCTTTCATGAGTTCTGACCATTATTCTGGATTTTAACACTGTCAGCCAATGTTTACCATTTGACAGATTAGACTGGACTTCTAAAAATAGCTAAATGTTAGTTGGAACCAAACTTCTGAAATAAGTCAACAATCTGGGTAATGCTATTCTTCACCTAAAAATATTAGGTATGATCATAGAGTATTGAGTTAATACTTATTTTTAGTATGGCTTATTAATTGCTTTTCTATTTTTATAAAATAGATTTACTGGGAAATTATTCACATACCATAAAATTTATTCATTTAAAGTGTAAAATTCAATGATTTTTAGTATATGCACAGAAAAGTGCAACCATCATCACAGGTAATTTAAAAATATTTTCATTACCACAAAGAGAAACCTGTATACTTTGTCCATCACTCCTCTACTTCTCCTCTCACCCCATTTTCCCCTCACCCTTGTCTCCCCAGCCCTAAGCAACCACGAATCTACTTACTGTTTCTACAGATTTGCAAGACACTTCATATAAATGGCATCAGATAATATGTGGTCTTCGTGACTGGCTTCTTAACATTATATTTTCAAGGTTTGTCTGTGTTGTAGCATGTATGATTCCTTTTTATGGATGAATAATATTCCATTGTGTGGATGTACCACACTTTGCTATTCATTCATCAACATACAGTTTGTTTCCATGATTGTGAATAGTGTTGATATAAACATTTATATACAACTTTTTGTTTGAACAATTGTTTTCAGTTCTTTTGTGCATATACATAGGAGTAGAATTGCTGGGGCATATGGCAATTCTGTGTTTAACTTTTTGAGGAACCATCATACTGTTTTCCATAGCATCTACACCATTTTACATTCCCACCAGTG